ACCAGGATGGAGACTCTCAGCTACTGCTCCAGTACCTGCCTGCACACTGCCATGTTCCTCATCATGATGATAATGAACTAAACCTCTGAAACTGTAAAACCCCCGATGAAATGTTTTCTTTTTATAAGAGTTGCCATGGTCATGGGTCTCTTCAAAACAACAGAACAGTGACTAAGACACCAAGTATGGAAAGAGGCAGGGAAGTAACTCATTATGAGCAGAATAATCAAGATCATCTAACACTGTTGTGTTAGAATTACACGGAATGACATTCTCATGGTTATTAGTCATATCTTATATGTTCAAAAATAAAATCTGCTGGGCATGGTGGCACATATACTCCTTGGCATCCAAGAAGCTGAAGCAGGAGGATCATCTCATGTGTGGCCAGCCTGAGCTATACAGTGAGTTTCCAGGTCAGCCTGTGCTACATAGTGAGACCCTGTATTGAACAACAAGAAGTAACATGAAAAAGACTGACATAAATCTTCCAGGGTTGAAAGACACAATTTCTGAGAGAAAAATATGCTAACTACGATTTTGTCATATATGTAAATGTGTAAGCATAAAGACAGAAACTCTAAGATGAATCACAGCAAAGGGGGTGCTAATTAAAAAGCAGATTAAATAGGTCAGATTAAAAATCTGGAAAACAAATTCCGCAGCCATATCTCCAAAGATGATATACAAAGGGCCAAGATGTGTGTGCAACAATAACATCACTATCAAGAAAATGCAACCCAAAATTACAACAAAGATAAAATCATCTAGCCAGCTATGGTGTTGCACACCTTTAATCCTAGCCCTTGGGATGCAGAGGCAGGAAGATCTCTATCGAGGCCAGCCTGGTCTATACACTGAGTTCTAAGACAGCTATGTAGAGAGACTTTGTTTCAACAACAACAACAAAAAGATCATTTAATATCCACCAGCATTGCTACATTAAAAACCCCAAAGAGCTGGGAATGTACTGCACTGGGTGGAGTGCTTGCTTAACATGCAGGAAGGCTTGGGTTTAACTTCCAGCATCACATAAAACTGGAAGTGGTACATTCCTGTAATCCTAACATCTAGGAGGCAGAGGCGAAAGGATTAGGAGTTCAAAGCTAGTCTGAGCTACACTGAGGTTCTGTCTCAAAAAAAGAAAAAGAAAATATGAGAACTATGCATGGTAGTGTGTATCTATAGCCCCAGTTACTCGAGAAGTCAAGAAATGAGGATCACAAGTTCAAGTCTAGCTTGGGCAAATAGCAAAACTTTGCCTGAAAACAAAACAAAATAAAATAAAAGAATACGAGAAATTAAAAACCTTGTTAATGAAATTCAAAATGGCATGCCACTATGGAAAACAATTTGAAGTCTTTTTAAAAAGTAAAAGCATGGGCTGGAAAGATGCCTCCGAGGGTAAGAACACTGGTTTTTCTTCCAGACCCATGATTAAATCCTAGCACAACATGGTGGCTAACAACTCCAGTCCCAGAGAACCTGACATTCTCTTCTGGCCTCCTTGCACATAGTATGTACATGGTACCACATACATGCTCGCTGTTCTCTCTCACACACACAAACACCCATATACATTAAATGAATAAATAAAAACTTAAAAATAAAATGACTTTTAAAAAGGTACAGTATACCTGAGCAGTTAAAAGGAAGCATATATGTGCAAATATATCAAGTATAGATCATATATATGTATATATGATATCAGCCAGTATGTATCTCAGAGCAAAGAAAATGATGAGATATAAAGAAGGAGACAGATCCAGAACCAGTCCCCCACTTTTTTTCTATTTTTGAGACAGGCTGCAAAACAAAACAAAAAAACAAAACAAACAAACAAACAAACAAATGAAAGAAAGAAAATTGGCTGCTCTCAGCACGCACACAATGGTTCACAAACATCTTTAACTCCAGTTCAAGGTTTCTAACACTGTTTTCTGGCCTCCTCATGTATCAAATACACAAGTGGTGCAGTCAAAACACCTATACATATATTTTAAAAATGATCTTTATTCATATATATTTTATATATATCAAAAATATACATGAACTTGCACACATATATAGAACTATACGGAAACATTAAAAAATTGAAATATAGCTGGATGGTGGTGGTGCATGCCTTTAATCCCAGCACTCAGGAGGTAGAGGCAGGTGGATCTCTGTGAGTTCAAGGCCAGCCTGGTCTACAAGAGCTATTTCCAGGACAGGTTCCAAAACTACAGAGAAACCCTGTCTCAAAGAACAAACAAACAAACATTGAAATGTACATGGGGGGCCCAAGTCCTTCGGATTGAGCATCTCCTCCAAAAAAACCTGAAAGGTACACAAAAATGTCAATGTCTTTTCCTCAATTACTGACACAGTAAGTAATGTAGACAGAATAATGGAAATGATACAGTAGACTCTATGAACCAACTTTACCTAACTGAATCTATAGAATAAGAATTTAAGCATAATAGTTTTCCAATTGCAAAGCTCTTGAATTTGAAAATTTTGTCAACATAGACAATACCCTATAACCAGCAGTTCTCAACCTGTGGGTCTCAACCTCTTTGGGAACTGAATGACCCTTTCACAGGGGTCACCTAAGACCATTGGAAAAAAAACGATATTTACATCAATTCATAGCAATAGCAAAAATTACTGCTATGAAAAAGCAATGAAAATAATTTTATGGTTGGGGGTCACCACAACATGAGGAGTTGTAATAAAAGGCTGTGGCATTAGGAAGGCTGAGAACCACTGCCCTAGACTATAAAACCAATGTCAATAAATTCAAAAGGATTCAAGTAGTGTACAGCATATCTTCTGACCATAATAGAATTTAATTAGAAATGAATAAAAATTCTTAGAAAAGTCAACATATTTGGGAACTGTATGATATACTTCCAAATAACTTATGAGAAAAAAAGAAGTGGAATTTAGAAGGAAAGTTTAACTCAGTGAAATGATTTATACGGCTACGAAGAATTTAGTTAAGGCTGGAGCGAGGGCTCTTCCAGAGCACCCATTAGGTTTCCAGCACTACAT